AAATTTTCTAACATTGCTAAACAAAACTCATCTAAAACTGAGCCTGGAGATGAGCCCGTCGCTATTTCATCTATTTGTCTATCATCAACATTGTTGATGACAAAAGAAGATATTCAGCCTACATTTTAAAAAGGTAATTCTTTCAAACTACTCGCACAGAAGTCAATGTTAATTTAGTTGTCCAATACTTACTTAAATATATGCTGAATCATTTCAACCACTTATCTGAAATCAATTGGTTTATTTATTAAAACTTCAATCAACCAATATATCACAGTGGTTTTCTTTCATTCCGATAAATCGACCTTTAAAAGCAACATTTGATTCATACACCATTTTAAATTTCCTTTAACACATTCGGCTACATAACAGTAAGTGTTGTTTTTTCTCTGAAATCTGAAGTTTCTAGTATTATCTGATACAGAACAATGTTCAGTAGTAACCCAATATCTCTTAAGGTTACATCAATGGTACCTCATACACTTAGAGCTATGTAAGTTCAAACTTATTTCAACTGAATACTGATTATCTGCATTTGTAAATCTACTGTCAATATACTTGTAATTCTCATTCTAAGGTCTAAAATAGTTTTCGGAAAATTTCAGTACAGTCAGGAATTTTATAAAATTTTGAAATAAGAAACTAGTAAGTTAGTGAAATGACTAACTTATTCTGATTTTTACTTCGTTCGCCTTGTTCAACATTTCAATTTTTGTTAATTTCGCAATGATTACGAGGGTAATTCTAATAGACACAAAGGGAGTTGGAAATATTCAGATATATATAATGCAAAAATATGCCTAAAAGGCATTTTTGATAATAGTTAATTTTTATATCCTCAAGAATTTTAAAGTCTAAAAAATATGACAATAACATATATCGAGTTGAAATTCTCAACATTCACAACATTAAAGTAAGACACTTTGATTATTGATATATCAAAGCAACTAATTAGTCGCAAAAGTTGATTTTAAGCAAAATTTACTCATATATATCTACGTATATTGCATTACAGGGTTGTGAAGATTGTTAAGTTACACATTTGGAAACTATGAATCGATCAAGGTTAGACTACCATTATAAACCTGGAAACACTGAAAGATGACCGTTGCTTCCTGGTACGTGACTCACTAGCAGTGCGCATCCACGACTTCTGCACCACGCAGGATTCAAACCCAGGACCATTGGTCTTGCGCGTGAACACCTAACCTCTGGATCACTGAGCCAGTATCTAACGGTGTTAATGTCTAACTTGATGAGACCCATACCAGGACGAAACGGCCGTCTTTCAGTGTTTCTAGCTTTATAATGGTGGTTTAGTATTGATCGATTCATGGTTTCAAAATATACATATATATATGACAATGATAAAAGCTTGACACATATGTTTCTGTTATAAAGCTGTTCGTTTGAATGTATCAAGAAAGTCAATGTTTCGCAAAGACCAATAAAATCCCATAGGTCAAACAAATCAGTAGTGATGGGAAAGAGTATCATTACCTACAGAAGCAAACATCAGACAAATTAATGAGTTTCAAAAAGTATAAACTTGAAGATTCAATCCGTTTGCTAATTGTTTTCACCAATCTTATATGTACTGTAAACCCGTAGGTGACTAACAATAACGAGATGGTGTTACTCATACTTGTAATTAAAATTTTCACCTATCTTCTAAGTAATGAATAAAATAATAAGCGGATTAGTACTTTCCATATTGAAATAATCAATCAATCATTGTTAGACCATCATTACAAATCTGGAAGCAATAAAAGACGGACTTTTCTTCATGGTATGGGACTCATCCGTGGCGGTGAACATCCACGATTCCCACTACCCACAGAATTCGAACCCTGGACCTGTGGGCTTAGGTGTGAACGCCTAACCTCTAGACCACCGGACCGGCATCCAGAGGTTAGGCATTCGCGAACAAAATAGAAGGTCCTGAGTTCGAATCCTGTGTGGATCAGGAGTCGTGGATGCGTACTGTTGATAGTTACCATGCCAGAACAAAAAGCCCGTCTGTCAGTGTTATTGTTTATTGAGTAAACTGTTGAATTACCATTCTTATTATTCTACTGAATTTAAATTCTTTCAAAATTAAGTTTACTGAAATGTTATTGCTTGTGAATCAACTAGTCGTTATATTACTTACTTACTTATAATTATAGGGTGGATATTTGTATGCATAAAAACTAACTGCGGCGAAATCGCCTTCTTCAAATGAATGCAAAGAGATGCAAGTTATGTAAAAAAAAACAAGAAAGGTGGGTCGGTATCAATAAACAAATAAAGAGGGTGTGTTTATTTAAAATTGTAGTTTATTGCATGGAATAAGTAATAAATTTTGACTGATCTTAAGTAAAAACAAAAATCCTTTACTCTATCTTCCCTCCCAAAATGCTTTCTACATATTCTTCATACTACATAACTTGATTGTTTGATTATAGTTATATAAGACTCCGTTCGTATTGTAGTCCAATGCTTATACACACAGTTATTTTATATGAAGGTTCCTATCGTCTATCAAGTAAGAGTCACGCGGCTGATTTGGCTAAAATGAATCAAATTTGTGAGCGCTGGTTTATGTCAATATCTTATGTACTCCATAGAAAACGTCAGCAACCTTTTCTTAGTCTCTAAGATATACACATTTGGAATCATCAATCAATCATTATAAGACCACCATTAGAAACCTGGAAGAACTGAAAGACGGTCGTTTCGTCCTGGTATGTGACTCACCAACAGTGAGCACCCGCGACTCCTGCACCCTGCAGGATTCAAACCCGGGACCTTCGGTATTGTGCGCGAACGCCTAACCATTGGGCCACTGGGTTGGCATCCAACAGAGTTAATGTCTAACTCTGAATGATCTAGGGATTTCGCGCACTGCTGATGAGTCCCATACCATGACGAAACGGCCGTCCAGTACTTCCAGGTTTCTAATGGTGGTCTAACAATGATTGATTAATGATTTCAAATGTGTAAAAACACTAATCGTCATAACTCTAATTGAAAATATAACATATACGCATCATTGTGGTGGTGTTTCATTCTCTGAGCTGGAAGTTTTGTTTGTGGAGCTTTCATTGTTCTTCTGAACAACATCATCAGCACAGACTTGAGATAGAAGTGAAGTATTCGAGGTTGACAGAACAAGCTACGGGTCGAACGTCGGTAAATTTGAATACTTCACTTCTACTATTTGAAGTTTGTGCTGGTGATGTTATTCAGAAGAAAAATGAAAGCTGAACAACCAGAACATCCAGCTCTGAGAACAAAACACCACCACAATCTTCCAACTCAGCTACAAATTTTCTCCATCATCTCAAAATAAGTATCATTAGCAGAATTTTGATTGTCAAAAGGTGGTCTCGTTTGGCTTTTCATTTATTCTACATGTGTTATATTAGTTCATTCTAATGAGTATAAATGTTTTCACAGGTTTTTCTAATCTTTGTTCACCTTTGTACTCATGTTGGTTTTCTTTCTTGGTTGGGCTCTCAACTTGTTTATCGACGAACCTCTTCAGTGTGAATTAAGAGATTGTGTCTATGTCTATAAGTCTTTGACTGTCACATCATAGATACTCTTTATCATTCTAGGATTTCCCGAGATTCAAAGTTTTGACGTTTCTCAAATCGAATTCATGTCTTTGGTTGTCTGTATGCATTGATATTCTCATAAAAATAAACTGTTAAACGAGTAAATAAAAGCCACCTGCAACAAAATAGCTCAGTCAACTTGACCATATAAACAATGACAAGAGAGTATAATACTAAATTAATGAAAGCTATTGGTTTTACTGATTGCCATGTTTAAAATTTTTTATTGATAATTGAACAAATCATAATTTGTTGATTTTGATTATTTTCAGAATCGATTTACTCATGGAAAATAAGAAATATATTGAAGAGTTTCAGGACTTTTATAATAATTTAAGGCTAAACATTTGCACATTGTTAATAAATATTTTAGTATGGGGTTGTGGAAATTATTGAGTTACTTTTGTCAATCATGAATTGATCAATGTTAGACCACCATTCGAAACCTCGTAACACTGAACGGCCGTTTCGTCCGGTTATGTGACTCGTCAACAGTGCGCACCCACGACTCCTGTACTCTGCAGGACTCGAACCTAGGACTATTTGTCTTGCGCTCGGACGCCTAACCACTGGACCACTGAACCGGTATCTGGCTGATAACTGTGTTAATGTCTAACTCCGATCATCTCACGGTCTTGCGCACTACTTCACAAGACCGTGTTCGCGCGCAAGACGGAAAGTCCTGAGTTCAAATCCCATGACGTTCAGGAGTCGTGGATGCTGATGAGTCCCATTCCATGTTGAAGCGGCCGTCCAGCGCTTCCAGGTTTCTAATGGTGGTCCAACATTGCTCGATTCATGATTTCAAAGAAACAGTTATTGTTTCAGTTAAATTTTAAGGAATATTTGAAAAACTAGTCTACATCGTTATCTACTTTAAAAGTAGGCTATTATTCATTCTTTAAGTAGTGGGAATAATGAGCTCATTTAGACCGTATCATTTTAATTCAGTGAATAATACCAGTTAATTAGCTTCATTTGTCATGCGATTTGTGTAAATAGTGTAATCGCTAAACTTACGAAATTCGCTAGTGATAGACAGAACTAGAAAAAGATCAGTCTTTTGTGTGGTGACTGTCAAGTGCATTATGCATAGTGCGAGTTGTGTACCATTACAGTTGGTAATAACTATCTTCCAGTTTTCGGTTCTTAAATCAAACATATAAGTAAGATCATTCTTCCTGTACGGCAGTCTTAGTCCTTTAGGACTTTGTTGTGTTCAAAATGGACAATAACTGTGTAGTAAGTGAGGGTGAAGTGAAATGAAAGCAATCGAGTGTGAAATAACGAGATTATGCGGCAGTATGGAGCATGAGAATTCCTAGGGTATACTCTAAATAATAAGAACAAATTTGTGACAGGCGTACAAAGACATACAATGAGCATACATACATGTAATTATTCAAAATAATTGTTTATAGAGTGTATATCTATTACAGCAGGACAGTATTTACGTGTACGGGATTCGCCATAACTTGTAACAAATGTATACAAATATAAAATGCCATTTTTATCGTTCCATTCATCTCCAAAATGCTTTGACATGGTTAATTTATTAGAATTAAGGTTGATTAATAAAGACTGACAAACGAATGAAGATATTTGAATACCGTTAAAATAATCTGACCACAAAACAACGTGTAAATGCTTTTACGAGATTAGCAGTAATCAAAATATCTAGACTTAGAGATAGGTCTTACGCTAACTGGAACTAATTATGAAAACATATTTGTAATCTAAAGGGAATCGATTTCTACCAGTGATTTAAATCTATTTCTCGTCTGTTTTTATGGTCAAAGTTACTGACACAGGACTGTTCTTGTTGTACGTGACTTTCTACTCAAATGATATACTTACTGAATAATATTGAGTACTGAGCAGTCGAATAAACTGATTCGCTCAGTACCATGTGTTTTGTTTTTAGTATTGACAGAAAATCGTGTTAACTCTTTTCAAGTACTGACTAAATTTTATTATATGTGATTGGATTAACTCATCAATAAGATATGATTACCTCTGTTGTATGATAATGAAACTTGTTCTACCTTAGTGGAAGATATCTGTTATTACTGTTTGTTTAACCGCATCTAAGTGGTCATATAGCAAAATTTATCCCATAACCCCACAAGTTTTCTGGAGTGGTAAAGCTGTTTCTCCTTGTTAGAAATTTTGAAACACTGCGTTCCTACCGGCACACTATTCACTGGCGTTATTACTGAGTATGGAAAGTCACGAACTAATTAGTACTTGGCATACTGCCTTAAAACGTAAAACTATTGCGGAAGATTGAAACTATTGTTTTGTCAGTCCTAAAGAACATCCAACTCTACCGGACACTTGTTGGCAGAACATGCTCACGAAGACATTCGTCAAGAAAGTAGATGTGTTCTGGAGTGGAAGCTTGCCTTTTGGAGAAATTTTCCCATTTTCGAACAACGAGAATCGTGTCACGCTCATATGATTTTGAGATGGTGAAGACAATTTGTCACTCAGATGGATAATTGTGGTGGTGTTTCGTTCTCTGAGCTGAAGTTTGTGTTGACCATGTTGTTCAGAAGAACAATAAAAGATTCACAACTAAAATATCCAGCTCAGAGAACGAAACACCACCACGAACATCCAACTCCATGCTTTAAGACATCATCAGAAATAGCGTACAATAGAAACGAGTATTGATACTACCTTAGTTTTACTTTGCAATACTTACAAAAAACGTTCTCTCTTAATTGCATGAAATTAATCTTCTTCATAGTTTAAAACGTACTGTATTTCTACTTTTTTGTCTCTGCCAGGACAGGTTTATTATTATTTAATTGTCAACAACAACAAAAACCTCTTGGAGTTTATACGAACAACCCAACTTTAACGTGAATATTTTCTGTGCAGTTACTTACAAACTGATCTTAGTTAGATCATATTTGAATATCAAGTAGCACTAGACACCCGTTTCATCCTAGAAATATGGTTGCATAATGTTGCTAATCGCTTAGAACTAGACACGCAGATCAATGAATACTAAGTCAACGATCTAGAGTTCAAGCATTTCCATCTAAGACATTAGATCTTAGGTTCGATCGTCGTTTAAGAGGTCACAAACGCCCATTTGTAAGGAGTCCAATATCAAGATAAGACAGATTTCCAGGTAATCTGACTAAGTTCAGTCCATGATTTAATAGTTGAAAATTCAGAAATTTTTACAAAACAATAAGAGTCCAAAACAACAAAACAACATTAGATATATTTCAAATGAAATTTTTTTTACTATCAAAATAGTTTCAATTTCAGGTAATTTTATTTTTAATTACTCAGTAATCATTCAATTGATACTTTTATAGTTCAAAGCTCTTTAAAAAAATGAATTTTATTCAAAATTATTTTAAATTTCCCACTGAAATTTCAAATTTCATTGTTTATTTTTTTAATTAGGTGAAAAAAAGAGTGCTTCATTCAATGTGTCAATTAATCATATCTTTGTTTTAATAATCCACTACTCACCATTCTGAAGATGATACAAATTTTTCTAAACAAAACACTGAGAAATAAATGATTTTCACTAATCTATTTCAAAAATATTTTATTCGTGAAAGATAATACCAGTTCATATCATACAAATGTTAACTTATGATGTTCTGCCAGGTATATAATATTGAGATTAAGACATTAATAAAGAAAGAAACTCCTTGTTTTGTTCAACGATTGGAAAACTTTATGTTATAATTAACATGTACATGTTACTGGTTATGCATTCATTATTCATGTACTATATTTCACACTTATTTATTTCAAAACAGATTATTTGTCTCTTCATTTCTAGCTTTTCTTTTCAAATAAATAAAATTAGTCAAAAATTCACTAAATTAAAGGAAATCTGAATAGTTAGTTACATTTTAACCCCCTAATGATCCTAAGGATGTATGTATGAATACCTATTTCTATTCCTTGTTGACTACTAGTTTGTGTACATGTTTCATGATGACAAATTGAAATGTCAACTGATTATTTCAATTTTCAATTGTTCTATAGTCAATATGTAGTGAAAATATCAACTTTCAAAAAATATCTTTTGGAGAAATGACAAACAATTACTATTTGATTCATAAGTCAAAAATTTAATCTTTAAAAGAAACGAGTAATGATTGAAGCAAAATTTGTTGTAAACAGTTGTGTACAAAATTTGAATATCATCTAATCACTGTTCAGAAATTTATATATTTATATATGCATATATCGAATACTCAGTATTTTGATGTTTATCAAAATATGCCTTTCTTTAATTTCACATATTTAACTTTGGGAATATTATACTTATATCAGAACTCGGGCTGGAGCCCTTCTACGATTACTGCTGGTCATAAGCCCAGATAAAGTAGGAGGGTTGGTCATGGGGTTAGCGATCCCATCCCAACTCACTAAATAAAAAGTTTATCAGAGAAAAAATCCGTAGGTCGGGGGCCTAGGCTGCATTAGTGGTAGAAGACGTAAGTAAGTAAGTAAGTGATACTTAAGCAGGACCTATGGTACTGAGTAGTTATAGTCCAGTGAATGATATATGATTCTGTAAGTGGAAATAATGTCTACATCCCTACAAATTGTAAAATCATTTTAATTAGAAGAACTCTACAAAAAAGCTCTATAACTATCATAATCTCTCTCTACTTATTATTTCATTCATAATTCATTCATCGTTTCTAAAATGTTACTTGAATAATTTTTTAAAATTCTACACATGAAAAGAATGTTAAAATATCACTTCAGGTTATTCATGTATTTACAGTCAAATTCATCAATCAAATGAATCGATTTCTAACACAATCAAATTGAAATTTGACTTGCATTGTAACTTATGCATAGGTTTACTTCGTAATAAATTAGAATTTCGAATATAACACTGAAAATCTAACTTACATAGAATATAATCTATGTTCATATCAAGACATGCTTTTGTATAAATCTAAACTCTGTCTGGAGTCTGTCTAGGATTACTTCCTGCCCCAAGCCGAGAAAAGGAGCAGGGTTGGGCAGACGGGTTGTTAACCCCATTTCATAGATAACCAACTTGCTGAAAATGAAACGCTAACCAGGGTTATCAAACTTATCCTAATTAAAACAACATTAATTTTTGTATAATGTAGTAATGAACTTATTTTTTTAAAAATGTGACAACATTGAATATTTTACTGACGTGTTTAAACATTAAAATCAAAACTAGAGAAAAAAACTAACTACGTCACAAGACATGCCCTCACTTGGAACCCTCAAATTCAAAGGAAAAAGAGGATGGCCAAGAAACACATTACGCTGAAGAAATGGAATCAGCCATGAGAAGAATGAACAACACTTGAACAGAACTGGAAAAGGAGGCTCAGGACAGAGTAGGTCAGAGAATACTGGTCGGCGGTGGCCTATACTCCATTGGGATAACAGGCGAAAGTTAGTAAGTAAGGAAGTAAGTAAGTAAGTAAGTAAAACATGGTACTAAGTTAAAACTAATATATTAAAGTATGACTCATTTGTATTCGTCGTTTGTCCAATTTTCACGTGAATAATGTTCATTACAATCTAATGACCGGCATGAAACAATTTTACTCAGCAAATATTATAAGAATAATATATATCTGTAACACATGCTTACTTACTTGTTCCATGACAGTCAATCGATAACTATCCGATAAATAAGATGGTTGTATTTGAAATTCTACACTGAAATTTAACAACATTCTATAAATTGGTGATAAAGCCGTCTTTGATGTATTCCATACTAATTCACCTTTCGGTAAACGATGTACAATAATACCAAATTTTAAATCCGGTTGAATTTCCATAGCTTTAGCACGAAATTGATTCATAACCGATTTACTAAACCATGGTAATGGCATAGGTTGTGTCATGATGTTGTAACGTTTCATTGCATCTAAAAATAATCTTTTTGATTCTTGTGATTGTGGACATATAGTAATACCGGGTACTTGATCATAAACAGTATGTCGACCGGAATAATCTAATTGAAACACGGTTTGATGTTTTAAATATTGCATTACAACCAAGCTAATACAAACACATAATCCCATAAACATGATTGCTGTAACAATTGCCCATAATAGACGCAGTGAACGTGATGGTGCATTGGCAATTTTCGCTAATGGTACTAAAGAACTCTGAGAGAAAACACTAGAAAAACATTTCATAGTTTTTTGTTTGAAACACATGAGACTGGTTGGTATTTTGGGAAAATAATTTTAAAAAATAATCAATTAATTAAAATCCGTCATTTTTTCCATGTACTTATATATACATATAAAATTATTAGTGTATTTGTTAATCAAATTCTATTTAGATGTATTAAGTAAATGAATCATGAATAAAGCGGGCGATCGAGCGAGCGAGCGAGCGAACGAGCTAGCGAGAGAGTCTAACTGAAATTTTATTCATTAAATTCAATTAACCAATCAAAATAACAGGAAATGTGTGGGTGTTTTGTTTTAAATATTACAATATCATTTTTAAAGTGATTGTAAGCATTTTATTGCATCATTTCTAATTATAGTAAAAAAATTTAAGAAACATTTTTCTCAATTTATTCATGTACAAGTGAATTTCATACAGAAATTAATTTTGTTTTGATAAATATCTACGATAAAGCTAAATAGAAAATTAAATTTAAATAAGAGGTGTTTTTAATATCAATTATTGTTTTACGCGGTAGTGAAGATTGTTAAGTTACACATTTGAAATCATGAATGGATCAATTTAAGAGCAGCATTAGAAGCCTGGAAACTATGGACAATCATTTCGTCCTGGTATGGAACTCGTCAACAGTGCGCATCCACAACTTCTGCACCTTGCAGGATTAAAACCCGGGACCGTCGTTCTTGCGCGCGAATGCCTAACCCCTGGACCAGTGAACCGGTATTTAGCGGCTAAAGGTGTTGATGTCAAACTTCAATCAATTCATTAGTGTTTGTAAAATTTTCAAGCTTTCGCCAAGTCGAAAATGAGAAATGGATTTCAACATAAGTCGAATGATGTGAGGATTCTTCGAGAATTCCATACTGTGTATTAAACATATGATAGTAGTTTTATGAACTTGTTGGGGACGTTAGATCCCCAGAATACACTTGGTTTTAGGTCCTAAATTTGAATTTTGTGGTTTCACACACCGGCTGATCAGCTGACCTCCAGATTATATATCCCACTCTGGAAATCCTTGACTGCCATTGGTTGATGTGTTATTTTAGTACGCTATTTTTGTCACTCTCCCAAAGGACGTTTCAATGATGTTTAAAGAAACTCGATTTGTGTGCTTGTGAACCTCGATTTTGTGGGTGCTTGTAGATTACACTGTCTACGCCTTGTCAAAACTTCTTCCTCTACTTAGTGGGGGCCTTGGGACGCTCGGATTAGAATAGCCTACCGTGTCACTGGATCATATATCTTCGTCCTCGTTTACCGAGTAAGGTGAACTTGTAATGCGTTCAAGCATATTAATTAACGAACAGAACAGAACTGATATGGAGATCAGTATTAGTTAAACAACCACCAAAAATAATCGAACACTAGACAGTTATTTTTCTACGGTGTAGGACTTCAAAGTATTTAGCCTACATCACTGATAGAATCTAGGACTTTCAAAAACTAACTGAAAGCGCTTAAACTTCAAATCATTCGGTATTATGTTGTTGTGGAGAAGAAATTTATTATTTTACTGAATAAATTTTTAATCACTCAGATAGAAATAAAAGAATATCGATTAGCAGATAATATGCAATGATAATAATTGATTGTACGGTGGTTTCTTACGTGACCGAGGTCATTAATGGAACTAATATCCGGAGATATGACAGTTTCCCAATAGAAAAACTTTATTTCTAATAAAACCACATATTTATGTAGAAAATATCAGCACAAAGATAAATATAACTAGATATCATAAGCGATTAGACCATTTCAGAGATATTGCTCATCATATCATATTAAATACAGTTATTATTTCATTTAGGATTATCATTATTTAGCCCATACTTTAGAAGTACATGTAGGTACAAGTTTACTGAACTTCTAATTGGCAGCTAAGCGTAAAGTCTAAAACCGTGTGTTTTGATATGCTTGTTAGTTTGTACTATGTGTTATGTGAACAGGGATTAAGTAGAGTCACTTGATTCCTACATTAATAAAAACTAAGTTTTAAACAAACGTTGTGAAATATTGAGAAATTTTGTTCTTATATTATACTTTGTGAACTAGTACTGATAGCCATTTGTAATAGTGATTCATCACATTTGATGTATATTTTTCACTAAAATTCATTTGGTTTTATATCAAACGATGTGATAAAATGACAGTATCCATCTTATATCGTTATTGACGACTATTAGAAATAATAAACTAGGAGACCAATATCAGTAATTAAAAATTAATTGTCCCCTTCTTTTTCTGCGACAGAACTCTTCGAATTGAAGTGAGATGTTCTTAGAAGTTGATTGAAAGTTTCTTCAGGTCATCTGAGATGATAAATGTTTAATTTTTCAAGTGTATATTTTCGAATTTTTGAATGTAATTTGAAACATTATTACTGCACTTGTTTACTTTCGCTTGTTAACCCCAGTGAAGCCTAGTCAGCCGACCAACATTCTTCAGCTTACTCTGTCCTGGTTATTCTTTTATAGTTTCACCCAAATACTGTTCATCCTACTCATGTCTGTCTTCACTACTTGCCGTAATGTGTTCTTTAGTCTTCCTCTTTCCCTTCGCCTTGAAAATTCCAATTAAAGCCCTGCCTAATGATGTGGTTCGGTGATTTTCACAATGTGTGTCCTAATCACCTGCAACGCTATTTCCTAATTACTTCATTCGCCTGAAGAAGCCGTTCTGTTCTCTCACATAGTAGGTTGTTGCTGATGGTGTTTGGCCAACGGATCTGTGAAATCTTATGTAGACAACAATTAATAAACACTTTTATCTTGTGGATGACAGCTTTCGTGGTTCACTAACTTTTCACTCTGTACAGCAGAACTGTCTATTACTGCACTTACAAACATAGGATTCACAGGTTATGTAGTTGACAGACTTTGTATCAAATCAATTCAGTCATGAGGTGTAACTACACAACGAGATGTGAACTATTTATCATCTCAGTCATTCATCCTAATATTTTCTGAGACATTTTAAACAATTAATGAGAGATTTGTATGTAGTAAGTGTTTTTAAATTGAGTCTCGGTCAATTAGTTGTCGGTACCAATTTACAGACAAATTAATCTAAACTGAACACTTATCAATACGTAAAAACTGTTCTCAGAAAACACGTTTGGAAACTTTATGTGTAGTAGCACAAAAATATTAGTGTACCTTTTAATGTCCAGTGTTATACGTTCTTACATACAATACTCTATAGTCAGTAGGCCAAAACATATTCCTAACAATCGAAACTAAATAATCATTCACTTTATGAATCTCGACAGAACAATTAGAAGACGGTGTCCAGGTGAAAACTGTGATACGTATAGATGTGCAATACAGTTCCGAATGAACTGGCCACACACATTTGACAAGGCATTTATTTACAGAAAGCTAACGAAGGTCAATTAAACAAAATTTCAAAGAAACATAGAATCTCGATGGTTAGTAAAGGAGAGGGAGAATAATATGACATAAGTTGAAGATTACCAGGACAAACTCAACGCTACGATAGATTTTTTCTGTATATTTTAGAAAACACAGGCGGTCTACTTGTATATTTGAGTTACCTGTTTCCTAAAATCAAAATATTTCAATAAGCATTTGAAATGAATATTACATCTATCAATTGCATAACCTATTCAGGCGAGTATTATAAAAATTTACGGTCTATCTCTTCGCAATGATCGAAAAAGTACAATCCCAGACATCTCGGTGGCCGACAATCTTCTGAGCAAACAATGAACATTAATAAGATATTGATTGTTGAACTGCTCACTTCTAAGTGCCAATCACTCATTGTTTGAAAAGTAAACTTATTGAAATATTCTGAAATAGATATATTAAACCAATGGTGTCAAGTATTAGGAGTAACTTTAAACTAGTAATAGACACGCCTCATATACATTCCATTGGGTATTGTAGTCTCTTTATTAGCTTATATATATATATATATATATATATATATATATATATATATATATATATATATATATAAGTTCATTGAATAGTATGTTTGTGACTAGATTGTTCGAAATGTATGCTTGGAGTATATCATACTTTCCGAAACAATTTCGCCTTCTCAACGCTTTATCCAAATACCTGTTTTCCGATTTGTTCAGCTTTGACAGGTTTGTTTAAAGGCCTTGCGATTGGGCTGTCCTTTTGCTCAGATGTATGTCCACTGGTTTGTATACTCTTCTATCCGCAAGTAGTTTCTCACGTTTACTGGTATATTCTTTCTTGTTCAAAATTACTGTAGTGTTTGACTAGTCCGCTAGAACTTGGACACTGTCTTCCTCAGTTCTAAGTTTCCTCAGAGTTTCGTATTTTTTGCTGACTTTAAACAAAGTTTTCAAAGCAGGACAAATATCAAAACAAGGTCAATAGAGAATGAAATCCAGTTAACCAGTTATCCTGCGATTCTACACAAACTCAATATTCCACTAATGTTCAATGGTATCCCTCCCTGGGACCCTAATATATAACATATCAAGAGCAATTTCAAAGATACTGAAACACTTAGTTGATTCACCCAATCACTCCATTGAATCTCCCATACAGTTCTTAGTTAAACTTAAATAGATTCAAATCGACAAGGACAAATTGATGATATCCTTTGACCCAACAGCCTTACTCACCTAAAAGGAATCAAGTTTTGCGATAGCGATTCAACTCATGCTCCTCACCAGTGATACAAATCTCCCAAAGTATATGAAAATTCAAAATGAAAGTCTACTAGAACACATCGATTCATGCTCAACAACGTTTTTGCAATTGAATAACAAAATCTAAAAGCAGAAGAAAGGAACGCTGATGGGATCACCAATATCAGGACCTACTGAAGAAGCAGTGATGCCGAAACCATAAACCTCGGTTTTATCAGTGATCAAGTCAAAAATGTGGGTTTGTTATCGAGATGACACATTCGTCATCATCAAATGGGATGAGCTGGAAAACACCTATAATCTTATGTGATATGTTCGTCACTTAGTATGCTTGAGGCTATTACG